TTCTGACTCAGAATGTATTCAATACTCTTCATGATGTACTGATTCTTGAATCAGAAAGATTCCTAGACACTAAGAGACCAGAATAAGTTCAAATGATCAGCAATGATAGAAATGGATACATTTTCATTTTATATTCCAGAAACTCCAAATAAAAATTTGGATCCTTACACTGTAAACTGAAAACCATATAAACCTTTGACTGCCATTCTTAGAACCAACTTTTAGAGCACAACTCAATTTAATCACATTCATAGGCTTCCTTGTGTTTCAATGTTGTCAGCTGTCTTAACTAAAATAGAGACTTCATTATTTATGTTACAGTACACGTCATGCCCTCAGAAGTGGCTACCAGTCCTGCAAATTTCATTCAAATCTGGCTGGAAATAACAAAGGTATAGCCTGTTTTGACCTTCCGCATTATATCTTATGGGCAAAACTTCGAAACAGGGTTGAAACGGCAAAACGTTTCGACGGAAAAAAACGGAACAGCTGTTTTGACTTGAAACAAAAGTTGAAATGAAACACTGTTCTGTTGAAACGTCTAAACACTGGTTGAAACAAAATGCTTGCATTTCGCACAGCCCTAGCATCCAGTATTTCCACGGCTATTTACTAGGTCAAGCTTTCATGGTCATCACCAACCATTCCCCTTTAAAATGGCTCAAATCCTCCCAAACAGATAATGCCCTCCTCACCCATTGGGCCTTGGCATTACAACCTTTTCAATTTCATATAGAATACAAACCAGGCAAGGTTAACATAGTGGCTGACTTCTTATCTCGTTGCTATTCAAGGGACATTCCCACACTTGGTTTGGCATCTTCCCTGCCCACACCCTCATCTGCCCCCATGGACCCAGGCAATCAGTCAAGAGGTGGGGCCTAATGATGTCTTGAGGTGGGGGATGTGTGAGAGGGGAAGAGACAACAAATGGGGGTTTTCCCTTCTGTCTCCTCTGTCTCCTCCCCCTGCAGGTGGAAAGGCACCAGCATGACAGGCCCTGGCACAGCAGTTCTGTAGCTGCTGGACCCTCTGGGTCAGGGGGAAAGAGGGGCAGGGCCAGGGAACAATCAACAGGAAGGGCAGGGGAGGAGAAGAGAGGGAGAAGCAGTGAGAAGCCTTGAGAGAAGGTGGGAAGCTGGGAAGTGGAGCGGAGTGGCTCACAGGAGGGTAGAGCTGGAGACACCCCCCAGAAGAAAGGGGTGAGAGGACAGGGCCGGCACACAGCTGGGAACAGCTACAGCTGGCAGTGAACAGACCCCCTAGAGAGGATCAGGGGCAGATGTGGGGCTGGGAAGACATGCGTGACTTGCTCTAGAAGCTGAACCCGCTGTGCGCCTCAGTAAAGATTGAACCACAAAAGGGGACAGAGCTTTCCAGTGGAGAACAGTGGAAGAGTTCAAGGCCAGACCAGAATTGGCAACACTGGGACTTGGAGTTACCTCTCAGGACTGAGGAGCCGGGAGGCAACACAAGGATGGATGGCACGAGACCTGGAAACAGTCCAGTGGATGACCAGGGAGGGGAGGCAGACCGGCTAAGGGGAATGATTCCCCCTAAGAGGCAAAACCCTAGACCACAGCACGGGATAAGAATACATTAACTTGGAGCTCATCTCAGGGAAGGTTAGATGGTAGAACTTTCTGTTGAGTTTTTCAGTTAATGTTTAATGAACGTTGTTAAGGATACACTGTGATGAGCACAGTCATGAGGACGTGGGGCCGAGATCTCAGGTGGCTTAAGAAGAGCCACTGAAATGGGAGCAACTCTCCTATGTCAGTGAGAGGCATGGATAAGAAGAGATCATTCGTAAAGGGCTTCCTAACAATGATACCCATTCGGGGCATGGTTGTGGTGAGGGTGGGGTATAGAGGAGATTGAAGCCCTGTGAAGAAATCAGCGGAAAAAGATCCCACAAAAAACCAACATGGACTCTGTCCCAGTAAAAACCACAAGACGTGGTAGGAGAACAAGAACAATTGACAAAATGGACTGGTGATTCCATTTGGGGTCTCACTCTGACGTCACAAGGGAGTAACTCAACAGGTAAGAAAGGATTCAACCCCTATATCCCGTGACAGTATCAAAGAACTTTGCCCTTTCTTTTCTTGTAATGGCAAAGGTAAGGCAATAACTTAGAAGAAGGGGGCCTAAAAATGAATAGACAGTGCTATTCACCTCTTAGTTGGAACATTGTAACACCTACCTGAATAAGTCATTTTCCAGCAAAATTAGTCATTTGAAAACTTAAGAGATGGACTGATTTCATGGCATTCAAAAGTGTTTGTTTGTTTCAGATTATTTTGCAGAGCTGTACTGAATTTCCCTGATGCCATGGCAGGTGAAGAGGTAGGAAATCAAACTTCTGTCACCGAATTTATCCTCCTGGGATTTGAAATTCTTCCAGAGTTTCAAATACTGCTCTTCATCCTCGTTCTTATATTCTACATTGCAACTGTGGCTGGGAATGTCCTCATCATTGTGCTCATCATAGCTGTTTATGATCGGTACTTAGCCATATGTAAACCATTGCATTATTCAGCCCTTATGACTGACAGATTTTGTTTCACCCTTGCAGCTGGCTCATGGATCAGTGGATTTATAGTTGTCACCATTGGGTATCTCTTCCTCTTACAATTAACCTTCTGTGGACCCAATCAAATTGAACATTTTTTTTGTGATTTTCTTGAAGTGATTAAACTCTCCTGCAGTGACACCTATGAGATTGAACTTGTTGCTTTCAGTTTTGGCTGTATATTCCTCTTGCCCCCATTCCTTTTGACTCTCATGTCCTATGTTTGGATTATCAGGACCATACTGAGAATCCCTTCCACTACTGGGAGACAAAAGGCCTTCTCCACCTGTTCCTCTCATATTATTGTGGTGACCATATTTTATGGGTCCATAACTATAGTCTATATGTCCCCAACATCCAACACCCTAACAGCACCGAACAAAATATTATCTCTTTCCTACACTGTGATGACTCCATTGGTAAACCCTCTCATTTACAGCCTGAGAAACAAGGAAGTAAAGGAAGCTGTAAGGAAAGTTGTCTGCATGTTTCTGAACTGGAAAAGAATGCAATCATTCCTGAACTCTATCAGCAGGTTAAACAAAATTGGACATAACAGGAATCCAAGCTGTTGAAAATGTCTGGATTCTAGCACAAGGATTTTAGGGAATTTGAGAAAAAAGAGAAACTTTAGAGAGATTCAATACATTTCGTACCCTGTGTAAATGAATGTACTGTCCTGACACCAAGGTACACATTTTAAAATTGTTCCCAAAAAGAATATGGAATGGATTTTGCCGTATGAAATCAATTCAACTGGAGGCTTCCTACACTTAGGCAGAGATGTAAATCTCCCATTAAGTTGCACACAGTGCTCATGTGCACGAGCAGGTATCAAGGAGTGGCTGATATAGTAAAAACCTGACCTCTGAACCATTCTTCACATGATTGTATCCTAACCCTCAAATAGTTTAGTTTGTCAGAAAAATGTCCAAAACTCACTTGAACATAGTCTACAAGAACCTTGATCTATCTCTGTCTCACTGACCAATAGTTCATTTATAAATATGTTTCACATCATTCAGATCTGAACCTGTGCCAGTTTGCACTGTGCCCTTGTGAACAAAAGACAGAACTCTCATAATGGAGGCCTTGGGAATAAACAGTGACAGCTAGGACATTACAACTCATGTAACCACTTTCCAGGAATAACACACTAGTCTTATATATTTTTGTCTGACTGTACCTTGTTTTCCCTGCGTGAACATGGGGATTATACTGCTGAACAAATCAGGGAAATTATGAAGCTGATTTATCTAGTGTGGTGAGAGTCTCATAAATAAAACTGGTATAATGGAGCGAGTATGACCCAGCCCCAATCTGTCTTCATGGAACTTTGAAATGTGGCAGCAGGAGAGGGGACAAGGTAATGATGGGAACATGTCCTGGCTGCAATTTTTCAACATGCTGAGGAAGGGGGAATGATAGCTAAAAAATTATATTTAGAGGTTTGCTTTTGGAAATTGGCTTGTAGGAAAAGTAGACTTTGCATTAGAAACTGGTCCAGGGAAATGGTAAGGGTTAGCTGATTTCTAAAAGCCCACTTGTGACAAAGTTTCCTTCGAGGCCAACTGTGTCTGAAGCCAGCAGACACACAGGCTGGGAAACTGAAGACATGAACACTGTTCCATAACAGAGATCAGGCACTCTGTAGCATTGGCACCAGGACAGTGCGCAACTGCACAGCCCTTGGGATTTCCAGTTTTTGTGAACAGACCAGTTAGGAGTCTCTGTATATAACCAAATTAAGATAAATGCATGTGACGGATTTGTGGAAAAAGGAATATGCTGATAGGACAGAAGGTGGACAGTATAATGGCCACAATCAAACCAATCAATGATGCCCAGAGATGAAGTGTCATCCAAGGAAAGAAAGAATACAAAAAGAGGGATTTGAGCGCAGCAAAGAGTCCCCAGGTATATGCCCAAGCAGCCCTTGTTGGGGCAGGAATAAGGGTAAAGTTCAAAAAAGAAAGTCTTTTCAGAGAAAGCACCAAGGTTTCTCTGGGGCAAGGTCCAGAAGCCAGAAGTGGGGTGGAAGGCAAGCAGGCAGCCATTATATTCCAATAGTGTTAATTCATTCACCAGGCACAGTGTAAACTCACACATTTTCATCTGTGCAGTAAGTGAAATTCATATTTGCAAAAAACAAGCAAACTATTTGACAGAGAGATAGAGATGGAGTAAGGATCACTGGATGCAGTAGTTGCACCCAGTGCTCCTGGGAGAGGAAACACACTGACTGAGGCCCCAGAGCAGGAGCATCGTCCTGCTTGCAGACCTGCTATACCTGCACCATCCAGCCCACCATGGTGTCCAGCTTCCTCACTGGAGACAGAGCCATTTCTTCTCCAGCTGCTTCATCCAATTATTTTTCTTTGGTATGTTGTTAATTATAGAATGTTGTCTCTTATCTTTGATGGCTTATAATCGCTACTTAGCCATACGTTATGTACCCCTTATGAGTGACAGATTCTGTTTCAACCCAAGAGCTGGCTCATGAGTCAGTGGCTTTATAGTTGGCTTCATTGCATCTCTCTTCTTGTTATGATTAACCTTCTGTGGACTCAATCATATCAAGCGTTTCTTTTGTGACTCTGTTCCAGTGATTAAACTCTCCTGCCGTGCCACCTATGAAGTTGAACTTGCAGTTTTCAGTCTTGGCAGCATATTCCTTTTGCCCCCATTCCTTTTGATTCTCATGTCCTATATCTGCATTATAACCACCAGACTGAGAATCCCTTCCACTACTGGGAAACAAAAGGCCTTTTCCGCCTGTTCCTCTTATATTATTGTGTTAACAATTTTCTTTGGGATCCTAGCAATTTTGTATATGCTCACAAGAACCAACACCCTTATAGCCCTAAGCAAAGCATTTTCTCTTTCCTACACAGTGCTGACTCCATTGGTCCACCATTTTTATTTATAGCCTGAGAAACATTGCACAAAATGTATGGCCAGTACAGGGGGTAGCAGGTAGGAACATGCAGACCTCAGGAGCGCTCTCTCATTCATGCAGGAAATGATATGCACAGGCCAGACATTTATCCAGGCCATTAATTAGCTGTCTGGCCTACATCATGACATAACACTTGTGTTATCCATACTAGCAATAACCTGTGTGTGGAGAGAGCCCTTGCAGTCATTGCCTGGCTTGTTGCCTTTTCTAAAGAGGGCACTATGTCAGCCCTTTTCTAGACCTCTGGAACCTTGTCTGCCTCCCATGACTTTGGAGATATGTCTGGAGGATAGTGGTCAAGAGGCCTTGGATACCTACTTTCTGGACCCCTATCTGTGGAACACCTCGGTAGCATTACCTCCAGCACAAGACAAAGCTCTTCAGTTGGGATGAGACTGTATGGTACAAAAGCACTTCATTTTAAAGGAGGATCTAAAGTGATTCACGTGTACAGTTGTCCATACCCAGCATTATTCTTTGATCATTTGGGATGTTCCTTCCAAAACAGTGAATTAGTCTCAGATTTAATTAAATGAAGCATGTTTATATGTTAAAATGTATTCATTCCTTGCCTTTGTTAGTTCTCCCACTGTCCTTCCTGAGCAAGTCTGAAACTGTAAAAATAGCCCATGGGAGATTTCTGCCCTTAAGGGATGTTCAACTGGGTCTGGAAACCTCTTGTGAAGGTGATGATTACTTCATAATCAGTGACACTATGCTGGTCTTAATGAGAATAGAGGTTTGTTTGTTTGAGGTTTTTTCCTTTTATTTGTTATTCATTTCACCCTGCTATTTCAAGCTGCCAACCCTCCCTCTCTTTTTATTTTTTGAGGGTGTGTACTTCATAAGAATTGTGGCTTAGCCTGTACAATAATTATTTGACGTTCCCACCTGCAGAAGTGTCTGGAGTATTATCACTTTGTCAAGGGCAGGATAAATAGTGATTCCAGGGACAGCCTGACATGGTGTAATGCCTCTAACATACAGATGGACAACAGCATGGGTGAAGAACCACAGCTTCTTTCTGAGAATATGTAGGTCTCTCAGCTGGGAGAAATGATGCATCTGAAATGCACCAGGAGAGTAGATTGACTATAGAAGCAATTCTTTGGTTCCCAGAATGAAAAGGGAAGGGATCACATCAGATAATCCAGACTTTCCTTCACTTTTGTAAGGTAAAGAACCATTTTTCTCTTCTTTTCTTCAAATAATATAATACCAGATTCAGGATAGGTCACTGGATAGGTATGTAAACAGATGGGTAGCTAGAGAAATACAACTAATTTGACCCCCCATGAATGGAAATCCTATAATCAAACCTGTTCCATAAAAACAATATTCTGAATAGCTCTTTGTGCTACAGTATCTTTAGATTATCTTTTGTTATACCAAAATATAATCAGTATTAAAATTTATCATAGGCATTTGGACATATTATATAACGTCTTTATCTTCTCAAATTTTTTTTTTTCAAATTTAACCCATACCCCAGGATTCAGAGAAGATGACTAAATTAAATAAATTATTTAAATATCTATATAGACAAGCACATAAAAAAACCCACAGATGTATTCTATCTGCATGAAAATATTCATCCTTCAATTTCTGTTTTCTTAAACCAGTTTCTTAGACTCAGAACATTTTAATCATGTAAAATGTGATACAGGATAAATAACTCTTACAAAGGTATGACAGTTTTTAAGAATATAGGTGTGTCAAAAATGTAATCGCAGACAGAAAAAGAAATATAATTATATGATAGCATTTTACGTGTTTCAAGGAATAAATATTTCACGTTAGAGTAAAATGTGAGTTAAGAAAAAAAACAACCAAGCTCTCATGATAACGTTAGAATAATCCTAATGATCTCTTCTTGGACATGGTGTGGCTTCCAATATTGAATTATGTCTCCTTAGTGCATCTTCAGTCCCTTTAGTCTGAGATCTGTCAGACGTACAGGATTGACAATAATAGTACAAATGATTTTTAGAGACTGAACTTTGAAAAGAGCTGGATGAACTACAAAATGCAGGAATCCTACGCCTACATGTCCTCCCTCCCTCTATCTCACACACGTTTGTATTTACTCTCACACCAAAGACACAGGTCTTTATATAACGTATATTGGAGCCAATAGAGAGATTGCTGATCATTTCAATAAGCTTTGATTAGAGCTTTAATACGTGTAAAATTCTTAGTCTCTCTTGAATCCCACTTCAAGGAACTCGCTAAGAGTTTTCCAGGTTACTTGAACCATATGCACTAAATACATCTGCAGATGACACCAAGCAGGGTTGGGCAACAGACACTTCACAGGACAGGATCAGGATTTCACACATCGTAGGCATTGTTCTGGCAGGGAAACAGAGGCCAGGTAGCCAGATAAAGAGTGTCTTACTGATTCCTAAAAGGATGCTGGGGAAACCAGGCACATTCTTATATGGGGCAAAATTTAAAAGGCTCTCCCTTGCAGAGATGCACAGGATACCTGAAGGAACATTCTTGTCCCAGGTGGTTTCTGTAGCATTAACTCCACTAATGCACTTTTGTGCCACACTATGGTACAGCTGGTAATATTTCTAGATTAGGTGTCTTTACCATTACAGAAATTGCTGA